GGAATGGGTCTCTACCAGAACCCTGGACAAGATTCAAGAAAGTAAGTACAAGAAGACAGAAATTAACAACAGCCGAACAATGCTAGAGAAATTCAAGGCACACGCTGAATACATTGAAGCAAACAAGCAAGTGAAGTGGAGCATTAAAGCCGACAACCAGAAATACGCAGAAGAGCTAGCAACGACAGAAAAGAAGCTTCAAGAGAAGGAAATATGAGACAACTACATGACACAACGAAGAAACTGACAAGGAATTGTGGTAAACCGAAGAAACCAGTCAAGGACAAAGGAGGCAAGACAAACACCGAGATTCAAGAACAGAGGTACAGATGGGCAGAACACTTTGAGGAACTCTTGAAAAAACCAGCCCCACCAAACCCACAACACATCAAAGCAGCACACGCAGACCCCCTTATAGATATCACACGATTGCAGAAATCAAGATAGCCATCGGGAAAATCAAGAGTGGGAAAGCATCAGGACTTGACAACATGGAATTCAGACAGAGAAGTAACTGCAAATATGCTCCACATTATTCGGGAAAAGTTAGGAGGAAAAATAAGTGCCGATGGACTGGAAAGAAGGACAACTCATCAATATACAGGTGAAAGGAGATCATACATCGGACTAAAGTGCAAAGGACAGTTGACAGATACATTCCAACTGAAAACCGGTATTAGACAAGGCTGCTTATTCTCTCCCTTTCTTTTTCTTCTAGTGGTAGACTGGATTATGAGAAAGCATGGAATACAATGGAAAGCCCGCATGCAACTAGACGATTTTGACTAGGAGGTTGACCGAACCCTTCTGTCCCATGCACACGAACAAATGCAGGTGAAAGCAGTCAGTGTAGCAGAAGCCTCTGCATCAGTAGGACTCCTCACATACACAAGGGAAAAAGCAATATCCTGAAATACAACACGGAGAACACCAACCCAATCACACTTGATGGAGAAACGCTGGAAGAGATGGAAACTTCCAAAAATCTGGGCAGCGATATCGACAAACGAAGAGGATCTGATGCAAACGTAAATGTGAGGATTAGCAAAGTAAGGACAGCATTCATTGTAGAACGCATGAAACTCAAAACAACTGTCAACCAATATCAAAGTCACAACCTTCAATATGAACTTCAAGACAGAACTATTACAACCATCATCAAAAAGATAAAAGTATTTATAAGCAATTGTCTACGTAAGATAAACCAGATCCGTTGACCGGATACTATCAGCAACAGCCTACTGTGGGAGAGAACAAACCAGCTTCCAGCTAAATGGGAAATTAGAAAAAGACGTTAGAAGTGCGTAAGACACACATTACGGAAATCATAAAACTGCATCACGAGGCAAGCTCTAACTTGGAATCCTGAAGAGAAAAGGGGAAGAGGAAGACAAAGGAACACAATGCGTCGAGAATTGGAGGCAGACATCAAAAGAATAGCAGTCGGAAACAAATGGAAAAGATTCCCCAGGACAAAGTTCGACGGAGAATGATGGTGGGTGACCTATGCCCTTCCACGAAAGGTAACAGTAAGTAATAACAGTGGAAAACAGAACAACACATATGAGAGGAAAATATTGTTCATATTCAGATAGTCACCAGGTTTACTTTGATATGCATGAATATACATACGGAAGTATTAAACCTGTTAGGCCAATTTATAGGTCAATGAATACTAAGAAATAGATCGGATAACTGCACATAATAGGTCAAAAGTACAAATCGATAGCAAGATGTCAGGTGTACTAGCAGTGATTTTTATAAATCTATGGAAGTTTTAGTTAATAGTTCGATATAGGAAGCAGGCCAAACTTGGATAAATAGATAAGATAACCAAGAACACAGATTATGTAGTTTGTAAATAATTAGATAGTGGAGAACATAAACAGGAAGGTGAGAAATAACAGAAAAACATGGGGTGAGGACAAATGAATGAAACCACTTATTATGTCATATCCAGCCAAGGAAACGACTGGGGCAGCGTGAATTTCTTCTGAGCATATGGGGTTATGGGTTCACCATAACTTCCGCTTTATGTAGGAAACAATATCGAACACCGTCAAAAATGACGGAGGTATACGACAGAACACTTGAAATTATATGACCGCCGCCAAACAGGTGTGCCATGATAGAACTGTGTATTGTCCTTGTCTTGCCGTTTCCAAACCAAGCTGGGAGATGTTCATTCATTTGTTGGTCAAGTTGCCTGATAGTATCCCCAATATATCGATCTCCGCAAAAGTAGCTGAATTTGTAGTTGTACGTAGAAGAGACAAACTCAGGTAACTTATACTTCGTTTCAGAAGACATTACTCGCCTACTAGAAAATTATTTTGATTTGCGTTATCCGAAACTTGACAATAATACACGGTATGCTATGCGCCAACCCCCTCCCAACTGATGTAAGATTAGCTCAGTAGAATATCATTAACTGCCCTCGCCAATCTATCAACAACATCCCCGTTGAATTGTATCTTTACAAGGAGTTCCAACTTATTTTTCCTCCCATATATGCACTCCTTTGTAAAGCTTTTCCAGTAGCTTTTTTCCGTCAGTGTGTCATTGATGAACTTTTCCCTTACTGTACTCTCTGAATATATATTTTTTCGTCTGCTTGTAAGACATCTAACCGAATTTCTTTAGCAACAGATGAGTGCGAAACAATAGAAGTGTACATACCAACGGGTGGAGGAGCTCTTTCTATCTTCGCTTCTGCTTAACGATCCGTTACTCCGTCTGCGTTATGAGATGTCAATGAAATTTAGTTTACTGTCGTACTCGTCAGTAAAATCGATTGCCAGGTATACACTGTTAGACTGATTCAATGGTAATTTTCTAATAATATTCTGGTCTACTAAAATGAATATCCCATTGATGTGACGGCAGTATACAACTGGTTTATCAGTAGCCTCATTGCGGGGTCCGTCCCTTAGTTTTGCTAGGAAATTAGTTGGAGTCGGACCTCAAGGTGAGACTATAGCTATTCCATTAATCTGTCTATTACTGAAGATAAAACGGACACTCATAGTACACTTTAAGAGAAATTCTTGAAGACTATCATCAGCAAAATTAATGATCTGTTTTTACTTATAATTGACGCGTGAACTCAGTTGTCTTGACCAGTGCTACATTGGTGAATAAAAATGACATTTATACCTCTGAAATACAACTTTTCTTATTTTTTCAGAAAAGAAGGTTATTCGCCCAAAAAAAATCGAGGTGCCAACCGAGAAACCAGTTAAAGAAAGCAAACAGCCAGTCACTAGTGTTACACAGTCACAACCAATTACTGAGACACAGGCGTCTACAAAAGAAGCAGAACCACAAGCACCGAAAGCGGTTGCAGGACCACAAACACTAGAGACTGAGAAGCAGCAAACGCCGACAGAAGTAGCTAAGCCAAAGACACCAAAAACCGAGAAACCAGAGATACCAAAAGAAACTGTAAAACCACAGACACCAGGAACTAAGGAACCACAAACCTCGAAGGAAGCCACAAATTTACAGACACTAGGTGAAATACCACAAGCACCGAAAGAAGTGGCTAAGACGCAAACACCAAAAATCGAGGAGCTAAAAACACCAATTCCACAGACACCAGAAGAAACCGTGGAACTACACACACCAGTAGAAACTCCGATAACTCTCGCTAGTCACACTTTAGCAGAGTCAACTGTAGAAACAAAGTCGACCGGGAAGCCTCTACCACAATCGTTAAGTGAAGAACTGAAGTCGGCCATCGATGAATCCGAGCCCCCACAACCCGCAACATTCTCAGCAAACGACAAACTACCGGACGAGGTGAGCGAGGACAAACGCAGCCCCGCTGTCCAGTCCCCGCCAATTAGTAAAGCATGGTTATCTGTAGACAACAAGATGCCCCAACTACCTGACGCACAAACTTCGAAGGACGATCTTACACCCAAACCATCTACAGAATTGCCGGAGACGGGACAAGTATAAGTAGCCCCGTGGAATACATGTTCAGCTGGCTTACTAAATCTGATGGTTGCTGATTGGATTATTCTCAAGTATTTAGTGGAAGAGAACTGTGCTTCTTTTAGCGCATTTTGTTCTCAATTTTCTTTTTAAGCTTAACCCCGGGTGATGGATAGTATTTTCGTTTATTATTTAATTCAGAAAATTTTAACTTTCGGCATAATGAGAATGGATCATGACTTTCGTGTAATGTTTCCGATATTTCGATATAATGATCAAACAAATCAGCAAGCCATATATATTTTGATATTTTTCAACAATATATTCACTTACTGTTCCTTAACAGATACGCTACACCACTTTAAAACTGTCCCGTACTGGATCTGTAGTTTGATATCAAGCACCGCCAAGCCAAACAAATTATAGACCAGGAAAAGCACTTTTTATTGAGAGTATGGGATAATAAAACTGGGATAGCACTTCAGTGCTGAGATTTACAGATATTAAATCTTCACAAAAGAACTGAACCGTAAACAACCTGTCGAAGTTAAGTAATCGGTCTTGTACAGAAACGCCAGGGAGCCTGCTATTGACGATTAGACATTAATTAAAATTTGAATGTAAACATCAGGCCGCAGCTGATGCAGAACTCCGGTCGTTGCCAACGGTTAGATTTTGCAAACCATGAAATTAAAGGACGATTATGGAATAGGTTGTGTGGCGCTTTTGACCGAAAAAAACGCTCAACAGGTATCCATGATCCTCAAATGTCTACTAAAACTAATAAGACAGATAAACTGGCGGAAATTATGGTTATTCAGGTAGCATGACCGAATTTGTGGATTCCCCTTACCAATTTGCACATGACAATAGAAGCATGTTTTGCATGTTGAAATCCTTATAATTTACATTATTTGTTTGCACTGCTCTAGTGTACGGTTTGTAAAGTGAAAGGGAATCCCATTTGGACTTTTGGTGACCCTTGGGAAAAACTTGAATACCAAGTCATACAATTCAGCTTTGAAATTATGCTAGTATAAATTAAGCAAAAAGAACATTTTGTGAAATAGTTTTATTCTAAATGCATGCATGACAATGATAAAAACAGTCGTCTACTAAATATTTATGAATGCTGTTACATATGATCCAACTTCCCTCAACTACGCAATGCACAACCCGTACATCTAAAAAAATGAAATAGAGGTCGGATTGAGGCCATAATATTTGACACATAATACACATAACAGTTTTAATTAAACGTAATATTAATTGGCCATTACATATATTACCTTATACTCGCTACCAAGTGTTGAATACCGAAAACTAGCAACCCCATAATCATTGGGAATCCACCGGCCATGGAAATAGCACCTTTATGACGCTTTGCTGGGTCTTTCAAAGTAAAAAAAAGAAATGAGTGCATATATACTTTTCAATAAGTTGACGAATAATAAGCATATCATACCACCAACTAGTGTAACATGAAAGAGCTATACAGGAGAGTACTATTAACCAAGCCGCTCATCGTTCACATTATGATTGACTAAAATAACCCTTCTGATCCTGATTGCAATATATTTTTTATCAGAGAGACTTGTTTTGAGAGTTAAAACTCAAACCCTACCTTCGGTCCTTATCAGCCTCGATTAACTTCAATGAACCATTATTTGTTTATTTGAACACATAAATATTGGTACAAGAGGGCACCAAATATATATGCGCCACAACACATCTTTGTGTGTAGGCTGTGATACTGCCCGGGTGCCCAGATCGAAGCAGGTGGTTTTCTTAGGGGGCCACACCCCGAGCCTTTGACCTAAAGGTCTGGTCCACAAAGCAGTGGAGCATCGTAAGGAGATGCAGTCCCATGGTAGCCTGTGACCAACGACTGATTCATACGCCATCTGTCCCTTCAGGATACTGAAGCCCATGTGGACCATTGGTTTGGGATCCGGTTAAAGCGCCAGACATCCGCTTTTCGTCTTCTCATTTTCGCAAACATCCTCGGCACGAGAAGGCAGTGAGTAGGACTTCCCTGGCAGAGGCTGTATACGCGTGGCCGTGTGAGAGCATTTCGAGAGGGAGGGAGGGCCCACCCCACTCTCGGCCATACCAGGGCATTGCATGAACTAGAAGCTTGTGTTCAAATTAAGTCCCTATCCAGAACGAGCAAGTTTACGGTGCATAAATTAACCGAAATGTTGTCTACCAGTTGTTTTGTGAATGATCTCACACATGAAAGAATGTTAAGTACTTTCGACAGCAGAGGACTGTGAAGACTAGCATTTAGGACTAGGGTTCAGGTTAACATTGGAACTTAAGATTCAGGGTTAGAGTGAACGTTTAGGATTATGGGACATATGATAAGCGTAAGACCTAATCTAAACTATAACTTTATATCTAAATCATAACCGTGAGCCCGAGACCGTAATTCCAACCCTAACCGTAAACTGCGCAACCTAATCCTAATACTAGAGTTTAAATACAATATTAGGACTATAAGCCATGCATTTATAGTGTGCTGAAGTGGTTAAATAGAGTTTAGGAGTTTTCAGTGTTACCCAACAAGTCGCTCGAGTTCGTCATAAGAATTGAACTTAATCCGATGTGTATATACTGTCTTACATCACACTAAACCAGGGATAGTAATCCGATCTCCCGATTTTGGGGTTCCACCCAAAGTTCAATGACAATTGGCAATTTCTGTGCCGTTCCCCTAAATTAGGGAGATTGGATTCCTGATCGATATACAGAATTTAAAGTGTACAAACTCTCAAGTTGAAATTGTAACCCACAATAAAACACTTTAAATGTAGTATCGCTTACCTCCGGATGCATATCCCTGAAAATATAATAGGCGACCAAGGAGAAATACTACACCACACGCAGTATACGTCCGCTAAGTTTTAAATTATGAGAGAAATGGCGACCTACAGGGTAACGCAAACCACCCAGAAACAACGCCATGAGAAAAAAGGGGAGAACCTCTAGACTAGAAAAGCAACATAAAACAATGTTCGACATACTAGTTTTGATGACCTCTTTGGATGCAGTTAAATACTTTGTTTGTGGGGTGGTACATAATAGGCAACTCAACGCTGTGTTCTTTGCGAGCTTGCATAACTCGGCGGGCGAAGTAAATGTTTAACCCGAATGCACTCACACCCACTAGAATCACACCGCCATAATAACGGGGTAAGCACAGTGGGAGGGAAGTCAAGGGAGGGGAAATATACTTTGACAACGACATTCTCACGAGTAACCCCGCGCCGCCAGATGTCCGCAGTTTCAATATTCAATATGCATTTAACGTTCAAGCTAAACTAAGTAATTACTTTACACTTTTGATACAGTTTCAGTTTCACTTTGGGGAAGGACAGGAGGCTCGATGGCCTATGTTAGTCCTGGCAATGGTGGTCTCTCGGTTGACCCAACTTTCTTTTGAAAGAGTCGACGGATGGAACCTCAACCACGTGCTGAGGTAGTGAATTCCACTCGTTGATGATTCGATGGGAAAGTCGATAGTCAGCTGACAAGTAATTTGTTCTCGGCTTATGAACTTTTTTGGAGTGTCCTCGTAAATTCTCTGTTTTGGAAGACAAGAAAAATGAGGGCATATCAGGTGCAAATTTGGCACTAAGCAATTTGAAAACTGTAATCAAGTCGCCTCTAGTACTGCGATAAGACAACGGGAAAAGGTTCAGCTTGGCCAGTCGAGATTCATACGGAAGCTTCGCTATTCCGGGAATCAGCTTAGTCGCCGTTCTCTGAACCTTTTCCAGAAGCTCACTGTCTTTTTTTAAGCAGGGGCTAGCTGCTTGTATGCAGTACTCAAGTTTGGGACGTACGAACACAGTATACAAAGTCAAAAACGTTTTGGCGTCGATATGACTAAAAGCTCTACGTATTGACCGTAACGTTCTAAAACCTTTGGCGGCTATTGCACGGCAGTGTGCAGTAGTCTTAAAGTCTTGGCTAACGATAACTCCTAAGTCATTATATGTCTGGACGACAGGTAGCTCAGTGTTATTCATCGTGTATGTATCTGTGCCTTGATGACCGATGTGCATCACAACACTTGGAAATATTTATCGACAACTGCCATGTTTGGGACCAATCAGATAACTTCTTCAGGTCATTTTGAAGTTCTAAGCTATCACTCTTACATCGTATCGTTTTCCATATCTTGACATCGTCAGCATATAGCAAGACCGATGATGATAGGAGACAAGGAAGGTCATTTACATACAAGAGGAATAGCACTGGCCCCAAAACTGTACCCTGGGGCACTCCACTAAGCACAGTTTCCCAGCCAGATAACTTTGAGTTCACCCTTACTCTTTGTTGACGCCCAACTAAGAAGTCTTTTATCCACATCAAAAAATTACCTCCAATCCCAACATTTCTTAACTTATATAACAGCCGGTTGTGCGGAACTTTGTCAAAAGCTTTACTGAAATCAATGAAGGCGACGTCTACAGTTAGCTTTTGGTCCTTAAGAGCGCACCAGCTTTCACGAGCCACTAAAAAGTTAGTGAGACAAGAGTAGCCTATTCTGAAGCCGTGCTGCTTCTCCGAGAGGATCCGATTTTTATCGAGATACTTAAACAGCTCCTTCCGAATAATCTTTTCTAAGATTTTAACAACCACACTAATTAGGCTAACGGGGCGGTAATTCTCAGGTTTGTGTTTCGTACCTGTTTTGAAGACAAGACTTACTATGGCATTTTTCCAGTCTTTTGGTAAACGACCCTGCGTAACGGATAGGTTAAAGCATGTACTTAAAGGGCTTGCAACGAAGTTAGATAATTCCTTCAGTAGCCTAGGATGTAATTCATCGGGCCCCGTGGATTTACCTATGTCAAGCTTATTTAGCAGACCAAAGACATCGAGTTCTTTAATGGTCACGCTATCCAGTGTATGTATGGAGGGATCTGTATACGCTGACGCGTATATGGTATATACGTTGCTAAAGTGGTTCGAGAACACTTGAGCCTTACTAAAGTCGTCCTCCACTAATGATGAAGCAGTACTGTCTCCCCATAGAGCAGGAATATTTCCTCTTCTCTTTGTCCTTTGTTTTATATAAGAATACAAGCATTTAGGACATTCTACGGAGTCCTTAACAATCTTTTCTTCGTACAACTTCCTAGACTTACGGACGGTCGAGGCACAAGTATTCCGAGCCTTTCGATACTGAGATTTTGACTCATCAGTCCCCAGTAACCTAAATCTATCCCACATTTTCCTTTTCTTACGGAGAAGGATACGGACCTCCCTACTGAGCCATGGTGGTGAGCTTTTCGGCCCCTTTGGTATAGTCCAAGGGATGTGAGGTGTGGTAACTTTTAAGTATGAATTTCGAAATGCGTCCCAGGCCGTTTCAATGGAGGACTCTGGGTCTATTGTCCAATCTATTAACGATGCTGAGTGCATGATGTCTGGTATGTTTGCTTTCCAGACGTTGGGTCTGGACTGGACTGACGCGTCCTCATGACTGGCAGTTATATGGAAGTCAAAAGTTAAAACTGCGTGGTCACTTTTACCTAAGGGTGGCATATGGTGGAGGTTCGCAACATCATCCTCATAGTGAGTCAGTATAAGATCTAATAAGGATGATTCAGTGTCCGGATCGTACCTTGTCGCTTCTTTCACATGTTGCACTAGAGTACATGTGATAACCCCATCAACTAGTTCCTGCTCGAAAAAATTCTCCAACGATTTACTTCGCAGATTTTCCCAGTCTACCATAGGTGCGTTGAAGTCCCCTAGGATTAGACATCGACCACTTTGGGACCAAGTATTGAGACTGCTTAACAGGATCTCATTTGCCTCACAGCTTGGACTGCGATAGACCAAACCAATCAGCAGCTCTTGTCCCTTGCATTTTAAGCGAAGACTAACTAATTCACACGTCCCACTCTCATAGGATACACTATCGATTATGGCAAATGGGATAGCATTCCTAATGAATAGAGCTACTCCCCCTCCTTTGCGTTCTTATGTTCTGTCGGCCCTTACTAACGTAAAGCCCTCAAAATCAAGTTCTATACTATCTATAGCCTGTGTCAGCCAGGTTTCTGTAACTGCGATTATGTCTTGCTTTGTAGAGTCAATCTGTACACCTAGTTCCGATCGCTTATTAAGTAAGCTTCGTGTCCTTTTCGCCAGCGTCTAACCTTAGTTGTAGTTCTTTCTCGGCTTCCCGTCTTTTAACACGGTCTGCCAACGGTAGGTCCTTTCGGATAAAGACTCCTGAACCCTTTAATTTGTGTCCATTTTGTAAAATCAGGTCACGTTCGTTCGAAAAGCCGAATACCACTTTAAGCAGTCTGGAATGATTTGGTTTCGAGTCCGTTAGACTCCCTAGCCTATACACCTTTAGCAAGGTGACCCCGGTCATATTTTGAGGCATGAGTTGATTAAGCAGCTGCCTAATCAGTACAATGTCATGCTCAAAGCGAGCTTTAGGTTCAGGGCTCTCGCCCTCCTTGATTCTATGAAAAATAGCTGATTTGTCGCTATGATCAGCTTTCGATTTTTCAACTACTTTTACGGGGCAGGGTTCCCTTTTATATCCCTACTTTTCTTCCTTACAACCTGTACCCATTCGTCAACGGTGCTGGTAGAAGCAATAACAGTTGCATCAAACCTAGTGTTGGATTTTGGGGGGTTGTCGACGACCTGAGAGGTCGGGTTATGGTTACCGCTTGAAACCGATCGAGCCTTGAGATTGCGGCTTCTAGGTGTTTCCCGTTGGATCCCATCTGGGAGACGAGGAACAGAAGACCCTACTTTTCTTGAGATTTTGTTTAAGGCAGGCTCCATTGGAGACCGCTTTTCCTTCTTTGACGGGCGTGAGTCATCTATCACCGGACTTACCTTAGTTTCCTTCACGTTGATTTGCGTGTCGATAGATCGAGTGCTGTTTGACGCGTTCCGACTATGCTTGCTAAAACACTTCTTTGCAGCATCAACCACTGAGATGGCCTCGGTTAATAATCTGTTTGCATCCGAGCAGCACTGTTGACAAAACCATACACAACCCTTCTCACTGAACCGTTTGAAAGCAGCAGGCGTTAAGTTCGTGCAAACTTCGTGGTACCAGCCTTTGCACTCGTCGCACTGCATGCCGCTTTCAACAGGATAACGACAACCCGGACGTTGGCAACTGCTTTTTTTACACTGTACGGTCATTTAGGAGGGGTTTTTTCAATATGCGATGATACCCAGAAACGAAAAAATTATCAATGACCAAAAAAGTGAAGAACTGTAGATTGCTAGGACCAAAAGTACTAACAGATACAGTTGGAAAAGATGTACTCAAGAGTACCAAGGACAAAACTAATTGAGAGAACAGTAAAAACGATACTGTAGTCGAATACTTTAACTGAAATAAATTCAATTGAAGTGAAAACAGTAGTCTTGATACGTAATAAACGATCAAAACAGTGAAATTTACTCAGCGAGGAATTTAGAAACATGTGGTGAAGGGTCAAAGCTATTAGTTAAAGCATAAATCAGAAAATGTTGTAGTATGTGAAGAAAGTGAGTGGAGTTAGTGTTTCTAGTATATGGTTCAAATGGTTCTGCCTGGAATAAAAAAAGTGCTTTTGCTGAACGAGCTTCCATATCTATCAGTAGTGGATCACTGCTGCTTCTAGGCAGGAGCCTAGGTACACTTAACGACAAAAAAGGGAAATGTTAGTAAATTATGGTAAGGTACTGTCATAAGTCCTTAAAAATATGTCAAGTTTTCTCTTAAAGGACTCATAAGGAGTCGCTCAGATTACCTCAGATGGCAGTGAATTCCAGAAGTTGACTACTCGTAAGGAGTAAAGGGAAGGTCCATTGTCAATTCTGCTATGTTGTGTCTCTGATTTCTGAGTGTTAACTCTGAAGTTTGTGTTTTCGCACTATGCTCAAGTCGATAATAAAGAGGATGCTTAGGAGTGTTTGAGATGCTGTAGTCAGTAGAAGGTCACTTCTGAGACATCTTTACTCTGATAGGTAGGGATTCAGTGATTTGAGCCGCTCTTCATAAGACTTGAATTTGAGTCGCCGAACTCATTTCATGGCTCACCTATGGGTACGTTCCAGTATATTCTTGTCCTTTTGGAGCACGGGCGTAAACACCACATTTCTATACTCCAAATGCGGTCGAACAAAACTACTGAAGATTGAATAAAAAGTTCCACCGTCACACTGGCCAGAAACACACTTCAACGTTACCAGCTCAATGTTTGCTCGAAAGTCACGTTTGTCTCAGTTAGCTTAAGATATGGATTATACGGTACTAAGACTCCTATTCCTTCATCTTTGGATGCATCTGGAGCGGAGTTAATTTAGCTTTATGAATGGTCTGCAACGTATCTCAGATGGACTACCATACACTTTGAAGT